GCTTAGATCAGATTATTTGGCAGTGAAACCGTGAGCCATTATCGAACACATTCCTACAAATGACTCGCAGATCGACTCTGTGCCCGACTGAATGATGACCAAACCTTGAATATACGCCTGCCTCCTGGCTGCCCCATAATATCAACAACACAATGAAGACGACAGCACTGTGACAGCGTTGCACATTTACGGCAAGATTTTGACAAATAGCCCGACAAACGGAGCGTTCCCTCCCCACGGCACCGAGGTTGTTGCTCTCCTGAAGAAATCAATAACTTCCAATGATTAAACCTGAAGTGGTGCATCGGTCGGTGAGGTTCACAAAAGGAGTTAAGAGACAATGCTAGACTTCTTTTTTCTTTTTTTTTTTTTCTTTTTTGTTGCACGTCAGCAGCTGAGTCTTGTAAGTGAAGAGGCGTTGACGGATGCGAGGCAGCTGAACCGGAGCATCGATCAAACGCGCATCATCTCGTGCCAACGGAGGCAGTTCCCAGAAACAGAACTTCAGCACATTTGGTCCCAGTAATGTCTGAGACAAGCAGCAGCAGCACTGCAGCGCACATGCCCAGCTTTTATGACTCAGTCTTATCTTTGATACTTCTCTTCATCCTGGGTTTCCTGTTAACCAGTTTGCATTGACTCAGCTTCGGTTCAAGTGGATTTTCCTGGCTGCGGCGCTCTATAATCCACACGGGCTGAGAAATGAATGAATCAATTAAAAAGACTTCATTCAAATCACAGATGATGTGGCTGGAAGTGTTTCATGTGAGGTTTTTCTAGTAAATTAAGTCAACCAAAGCCTCTGCATGGAATAATACCACTTTTCCAGCAAGCACTCTATTTGCTTGTGTGGAAACAAGGCGGGTACACGGCGTCCTTCCTGAACTGCAGGTCTGATCAAAGCCGGCCTTTAGAGCTTCTGTCACTCGCTTCGTTATCTCTGACTGGAACTTGCCTTGAAGTCTGTACCACAGGAACCCACAGCAAGACATTTGTCTGAGCCAGAACCATAACAAGGAAGCAAATACTCAAATAGCCCAAGAAGGAAGGAAGACATCTATGCCATCATTAGAGCTTGGAGGGTGTTAACAAGCAGTGGGGATAATAAGGAGGATTTTTACCACATTTTTAACTTTGTGAACAAATTATTACAACATAAATGTGTGTTTTCTCATGAGTTTGTGTTGAGTCTGAAAGTAAAAGCAGCTCAATCTGACTGGCTGATCAGCAAAGAGAGTTGGCTTCAACRCAAACTTAAAATAAAATCCTTCACCATGAAATAATAATAATAATTATTATTATAACTATCAACTAGAGTTATTAACTTTATAATTTCAACAAAACATCAGCCTATCAGAGGTCTCTGTCTTGATGATGCAAGTCTGTGATTTTTCTATCATAACTTCATTTCTGTCATTTTGACTTTATTCCGGAAATACCGTTTTATTTTTTCCCTTAACTCTTTATTTTTCACTTTGCCCAAAATGTCAATGTCAGATTGCATTATTTTTGTCTGTTTTTTGTTCTCTAGGGGTGTACCCATCCGATAAATATCAATACGATATTAGCCCAAAAAAAATGAATGTTGGATTTTATCAGCCTGCATTTAAAATCTCCAATACAAGTACTCCTTTCTATTTATTTTATTTCCGTAATTGTATAATACTCTTGGGTTTGAAGTAAAAAAAATGTAACCTATTAGTTAATAATAAATGGGTCAGTTTTTCTCATACCTACTGTTTACTATTGTTCAGTGTTTGACTTGATCAAGACTTGGTTACACCACATTAAAAAAGTAATAAAAGTATGTAGGATTTGTTCTGATATCRTRTCAGGCTGATATTGGTATCGGCCAATACTCAAGGCTGCAATATCTGTATCATAAGTGAAAAAGTTGTCAATAATAAACTTTATTTTGAAAGCACTGTTTTGATTCCTCGTTCCCTTGACATATCCATGTTGTTTTCAATACTCGGCATAAAAAAAAATCAACAAAATTTAAAAGAAAACTTCCTCCTCATATTCCACCTGTGCGCCCCTAATACACAATGATAGTTTGATTTTAAAAGATAAGACATTTTTGGAAAACATAGTTATCATATAAGCAATCATTTTAATTCATGTCTAAAATGTAAACAGCTGCAGCATCTTGATCCACAGTGGTGTCCTGACTGATACTGTGCAGTGGTGCATAAACACACAATATAAAAAACAACTCAAACAATGGTTTTGAGCAGTTAAGAGTTAAAAATGAAATTATATTTTACTTGGGAAAACCCTTGAATAGTGGAGGTGGAAGAAAATATCAGTACATTGAAATATTGTGATATTTCATTTCCTGTATCAATTCTCAAAAACACTGTCAGTTTTTATTTAAGGCTTCATGGAYGGACGGAAGAAGAAACAAGAAAAAGCACAGTTCTCACTGTTCAGTGTTTTTCTGRTTGCATATAATTAAACTAATTTAATCAGTTTATGTATGTAATGAATGCATGGTGTGCAGAGTGTGTTTTTTATCGTGTAGAGAAAAAAAAGAATATTTTTCCTTGCTTACAGTATTGTTCTACATTGCAATAGATGATATTGTGACTTATAGGTATCCTATCACCAAATTCTTGCCAATGCTCAGCCTAAACCGAGTCTAAAATAGGGGTGTCCGACCCTGGTCATGCAYGTTTTACAGCAGGGGTGCCCAGTTTTTTTTTTCCTGCGAGGGCCAAAATTAAAATCTGAGGGCTGTGTGCTAAAAACAATAAAACTATAAATGAAATGCAAATACTACTTTTTAAGTAAAGTTCTTTTATTTGTTGGGATTAAGACAGCTGCCAGCGCGGTGGCCCACGTTTTGTTTGTGTTTATTTTGTTGCTCCATGCACTTGGAAAAAGTTTGATGTATGCTTGGGCAGCAAAGGTTCATGGGACATTTCATAAACTGATAAAATATGAGTATGTGTGCAAATCTGTGTGTGCTTAAATCTAACCTAAAGACAGGAGATTGCAAACTAGTAACCTGGGCTGGTGGGACAAATCAAATGGCTTGGTGGGCCCACTTTGGCCACCTCTGAGGGTTCTCCACTCCCACACACCTGAGTGGTGATTAACAAGCTGATGCAGAACCTGAAGAGGTAACTGAATCAGGGGTGTTAGAGCAGACTGAAACTCAAACCACAAAACAAACAAACTTCAGCTCAATAACTTCCTGTAACCTAAAGTAGCACTGATGATGTGTTGCAGTACTTCATGTCATGCATACAGAACTTGGCTAAAAGGGTCCATCACATCCTGATGTTAAAAACTTTCAGTCAGCTGACAAAGATGATGTAGTGTGAATAAAGTGACCATAATCTTGGCTGCTACTGAGCAGAAAAGGGAGAAAATTCATTGCCTAACGACATCGCCTTGATGAGTAAATAAATCTAAAAGTGGTTCTTTGACAAAATAGCTTTGGGTGATCAAAAAACCAGAAAGACCACAACACAAGTTTATAAAACACTCGTTTTGATTTTTACCAAAATGTACCCATCAATTTGACAAGGATGGTGGCGGCAGATGTATGTAGCTGTGCAGTATCGCTGCAGGAAAATACATCCAGTTTGGCTTTACAGGCATCTGTAGATCTGTTTTTGACCAAATTTACCTCAGCTTTAGTGTTGTGCTGTATGCTACATGAACGGAAGATCAAAGACGCAAATCACGGACATCATTTTCGAAAAACAGCACACAAGCGTCCTATGGCGTGTATAATGGTATTAATTTATATTTTCAGATCTTCCAAGGTGCCAATTATGGAACTCTCTGTGCATTGCTGCCCAAATC